TGCAGTTAAGAAAAGAACCACTGCTTTTAAGAGAGGAAAGAAGCATCATGCAGATAAGAAAGAAAAACATGATCAAACTTGAATTCTTTCTGGAGCCACCTTAAAGCCAAGAAAACTGCAAATCAAAAATCAATTGAATAAAAGCAAGGGGGCCTTCTACCACCGATAAGGCCAGAGTAACTGCATAAAAGTTTTTGAGGGGTGGACTTTATTCCTTGATAAGGGGGAAAGATCACAACAGAGGCCCCCAATCTACCTCCATCAGTGAATATGGTGGAGCTCCCCTAGCGTCAGGCTTGTGAGGCCGGGGTGGAAAGCACATGGCTGAAATGGTGGGAAAGATCCCAAGGGGGGGGATTTAAAAAGGATAGGGTGAGGTGGTGGGGAGGCTTTACGCGAATACGGAACTAAAGTTGCTGAATCACTGGGACCCGGAAGGGCGAGGCTGGCAGCTATGTGCCGTTGAGCGCTAGTGAAATGGTGGCCGCGGAGCGCATGAAATGGCGCCCGTGCGCGTCAGGGCGCATGCGTGCAAAGTTATGCCCAACAAACAGTAATTACAATAAATGTAAATGGGTTACATTCACCAATTGAAACACAGAAAAGGTCCGGTTAGATTTCTTTTTAAAGATCTAACAATAATGTCTCAAGAGTATTTGTCAAGGTAAGCTCATCTATGTTGTGACAACAAATAAACACTGAAATCTCTGTGGCTTAACAAAATAAAAGTTTATTTCTCATCCATATCACAGTCTAATGCAGGCTGAGCTGTAATCCTGGGTGACTCTCCTCCAGGCAGCAACTCAGGGAGCCAAGTGTTTTTCATCTGTGGTTCTGCTGTACTTCAGGGCTGTCTTGGGATCCTCATCAATCTCTGAGCCAAAGAATAAAGAGGGTGACAAGTACTGAGGAGGACAGTGTGAGACATTTATAGCCATTCCCAGAAGTGGTATACATTACTTCTGCCCACATTCCATTGTCCAGAATTCAGTCACAAAGCCTCAACCTCCCTGCAAGTCAGTCTGGGAAATGTCATTTTTTTGGAATTCCCAGAAAGAGTAAATGGGATTGGTGGACATATATCCAGTTTATTCCACATGCATTTAAAATAAAAGGTATAACTGTCTTCATTCATAGATGACATGATTATTTATGTGGAAAATCCTACAGAATCTATAAAACAACTAGAATAAGTGAGCATAGCCAAAAAGTCACAGATCACAGGGTCTATATACTAAAATCAATGGTAAGTTTATATACTAGCAACAAAGATTGTAAAATGAAATTTAAAAAACAACTCCAGGGCTTGCTGTTTAGCTCAGTTAGTTAGAGTGTGGTGTCCATAACACTGAGGTCCAGGGTCCATCCCTGCTACTGGCCAGCCACAAAAAAAAAAAAAAAAAGCTGAGAAAGGTTACTAAAATCAATAAGGTCATGTAATACAGAGTCCATTTAAAAAAAAAATTTTTGGCAGCTGGCCAATATGGGGATCCAAACCCTTGACCCTGGTGTTACCAGCACCACACTTTCCCAAGTGAGCTGACTGGCCAGCCCTGGAGTCCATATTTTAAAAAATCAATTGCACTAGTGCATGCCAGCAATAAAAAATGAAAAATTTTATTTTATTTTATTTTATTTATTTATTTTTTTTTTCCTTTTTGTCTTTTTTACTGACCGGTAATGGGATCACAACCCTCAGTGTCACGCCCGTACCGGGGACCGGCAATGGAGTCGCAACCCTCGGTGTCACGCCTGCACCGCGCTCAACCAGTGAGCGGACCAGTCTCTATATGGGATCCGAACCCTCGGTTGGAGCGCCGCCGCGCTCCCAAGCGCCGCACTCTACCAACTGTGCCACCGAGCCAGCCCTTTTTTTTTTAAAGATGACCAGTAAGGGGATCTTAACCCTTGACTTGGTGTTGTCAGCACCACGCTCAGCCAGTGAGCTAACCGGCCATCCCTATATGGGATCCGAACCTGTGGCCTTGGTGGTATCAGCACCAAACTCTCCCAAGTGAGCCACGGGCCGGCCCAGCTAAAGAATATTTTGAGGAAAACTTATAGCATTAAATATATTTATCAGGAAACAAAAATGGCTAAAAATAAATCAGCAAATCATTGAAATCACCAAGTTGGGAAAAGAATAACAGAGCAAATTGTAAGAAATAATAAAGATAGGAGAAAAACAGGAATCCAGGACCAAAGGAGAGCAGAAAAGACTAATGAAATAAAAAGCTTATTCTTCATATAAGAACATAATTTTGTGGCAAAATTAATCAAGGAAAAAGAGAAGGGGTGAATAGCTTTTTCTTACAAGTTATTCCAGATAGCAGAAAAAGGGAAAAGCTTTTTCGAAAATGTTATAAGGATAGTATAATTGTGATTTCTAAATCAGATAGGGACAAAACAAGAAAAGAAAATTACATGCTCATTTTGCTGAGCATAGATGTTAAAGTCCTAAACAAAATACGTAACATTATATTAAAAATAATACATCATGACCAAGTAGCGTTTATTCTGGAATTTACTAGAAAAATTATCAATATAATTCTCCAAACGAATAAAAATAAAGGAGGAACAGCATGTGATAACATCAAGCAAAGTAGAAGAAGCATTTGATAAGATTTGTTGCCCACTGAAGATACAAACTCTTACTAAACTAGGAGGAGAAAGGAAGTTCTTGAACTTGATGCAGGTCCCATGCCAAGAATCTATAGCAAATATTCTACACAATGACCCTCAGCTCCCAGCCCAGACACCCTGGCCAAGGGGGTGGCCAGCCAGAGCCACGAGGGGGGGAGGTAGGAGAACAGGAAACCTTGTTCACTCGTGCCCATGACGCCACGAATGAAACAAGACATCACGGGCCGGCCTGTGGCTCACTTGGGAGAGTGCGGTGCTGATAACACCAAGGCCATGGGTTCGGATCCCATATAGGGATGACCGGTTAGCTCACTTGGGAGAGCGTGGTGCTGACAACACCAAGTCAAGGGTTAAGATCCCCTTACCGGTCATCCTTTAAAAAAAAAAAGAAACAAGACATCACTATCTAACCTAACACTGGAGGTCCTGGTCATAGTGCACTGAATTATGTCCCCCAAAACTCCCTGAAGCTTGAATTGTGTCCCCCAAGTTTTATGTATTAGAAACTTAGCCCCCACTGTGATGTTAAGAGGGTGGGAAATCCTATTATGGTGACTGAAAGGTGGAGCCTTGAAGAGGTGATTGGATTGTAGGACTGTGCAGTAGTGAATGGATTAAAAATGGTGGTCAGAGGCGTGGTTCTGATGGTTTTAAAAGAGGAGAGTCTGTCTGTCTGTCTCTCTCTTGCTTTCTTTGCTTCCATCATCTTGCAATGTGAGACCCCTGGGTCACTGTTGCCACCAGATGGACTTTGGACTTCCCGGCCTCAGAAACTGTAAGCAATAAATTTCACTTTCTTTATAAATCACCCAGTCTCAGGTATTTTGTTATAAGCAACATAAATGGACTAATAAGAAAATTGGTACCAGAGAAGTGGGGCGTTGCTTATAACAAATACTTGAAAATGTGGAAGCAGCTTTGGAACTGGTTGTTGAGAAGAGGCTGGAGGAATTTTGAGGGACAGGCTAGAAAAAGCCTAGAGCTGGTGAAAGTTTAGAAGACAAGAAAACCAGGGAAAGTTTTAGACACTGGTTAAATGGTGGTGAACAGAATGCTTATAGAAATATGGACTGTAAAGACCCTTCTAAGGAGGTCTCAGATAGAAATAAGAAGGATTTTATCAGAAACTGGGGCAAAGATCACCCTTGCTGTGAACTGGCAAAGAGCTTGGCTGCATTGTGTCCATGCCCTAGGAATTTGTGGAAGTTGGAACTTAAGAGTCGTGAACCAAGGGCCGGCCTGTGGCTCACCTGGGAGAGTGTGGTGCTGATAACACCAAGGCCACGGGTTCGGATCCCATATAGGGATGGCTGGTTGGCTCACTTGGGAGAGCATGGTGCTGACAACACCAAGTCAAGGGTTAAGATCTCGTTACCAGTCATCTTTTTTTTTTTTAAAAAAAAAAGAGTCATGAACCAGAGTATCTGGCGGAAGAAATTTCCAAGCAGCAAAGCATTAAGGAAGCTGCATGGCTACTTGCAACAACCTACACTGAGTTATGGTGGCAAAAGCATGACATAAAGCCAGATTTTAAAAGGGAAGCAGAGTGGAAAGATTTAGAAAATTTGCAGCCTGGCCGTGTGGTAGAGAAGCAGAGGGCATTTTCAGAAGAAAAATTCAATGGTACTAAGAAGATTAACTCAAAAGAAAGGGATTATCACGAGAAGGGGAAAGGGCCCTGAAGGCACTGCAGAAGCTTCTGGGGCCAACCCTTCCATTTCAGGCCCACAGGACTAGGGAGACAGAATGGTCTTGGGGAACAGGCCCGAGGCACCCTTCACAACCTCACTGCTCAGGGATACCTCGGGAAGCTGCTTCCAGCACCAGCACTCCAACTGCTTTGGCTGCAGCAGCCATTGCTAAATTGGCCCCAGGTGTGGCTGGACCTGCAGCTTTGGAAAATACAAGCTGGAAGCCTTGGTGGTATCCACATGGTGTTAGGTCTGCAGGCTTGGAGAATGCTAGAGCTGTGGAGCCTTGGGAACATCCACCCCAATTTCAGAGTGAAATAGAGCCCCCTACACCCTCATAACATATGCTGTCTGCTTCTGTAGAATTGCTTGCTTAACCTAAGTAACTCCATTTTGCCCCATCTCACCAGCAGACTAACCCCCCTTCTGCATAAGAAACCGTTGACTTTCTCATAGAAACAAAAAACAATTGCATAGAAACGGGAGCCATACACAGTGAATTATTACATGGGAACAGGAACCATACACCATGAAAACGTGTACGCTTGGTTGCTTGAGCGGCTCATTCTCGGCCTCCGTGACCGAGCTCCTCAGCTTGCTTTGTGCACCTGGACAAACCCGCGTGCCAACGGGATGTAGTTTTTGCCTTTAAAAACCCCACAAGACCAAAGACTGGGGCCGCTCTTCCTTGGTTGTTCCTGGGGAGATGGTCGCTGGCCAGCTGGAGTGAATAACCTGCCCTTTTCTGCACGAGTGGAGTGTAAGTGCATTTCTTGTGGGAGGGGGCCTCACAACAAGAGGATGTATGGAAAAGTCTGGGGGCCCAGGAAGAGATCTGTCACAGGGGTGGAGTCACCACAGACAACCTCCACTAGAGCAATGCCAAGTGGAAACATAGGGTTGGAATTGCAGCAGAGAAACCCCATCAGCACGATGTCTAGTGGAGCCATGAGAGCGGGACTGCCATGGAGACCCCAGACCTGTGGAGTTAGCAGAGTGCAATGCCAGCCTGAGAGAGCTAAAGCATCACCTGAGACCAGGAAAGCCATAGAAGTAGAGCTGCTTGTGGACTTGAGGACCCAACCCCCACACCAGTGTGCCGAGGACATTGAACATGGAGTCAAGTTACATGATTTACCAGCTTTAAGATTCAATGCATGTCCTGCTGGGTTTTGGACTTGTTTGCGACCTGTTACCCCTTTCTTTTGGACTATTTCTCCCTTTTGAAACGGGAATATGTACCCTGTGCTTGTCCCACCATCGTATCTTGGAAGTAGATAACTTGTATTGATTTCACAGATGGTACTTTGAACTTTGGGCTCTTGAGTTGAAACAAGTTAAGACTTTAGGGATCAAATGAATGCATTTGCATGTGAAAAGGACATGAGTTTTGGGGGGCCAGGGGCAGAATGTAGTGGATTGAATTATGTCCCCCCAAAACTCCCTAAAGCTTGAGTTGTGTTCCCCAAGTTTTACATATTAGGAACTTGGCCCCCACTGTGACTGTTAAGAGGGTGCGAAATCCTATTATGGTAACTGAAAGGTGGAGCCTTGAAGAGGTGATTGGATTGTAGGACTGTGCAGTAGTGAATGGATTAAAAATGGTGGCCAGGGTTGTGGTTATGAGGGATTTAAAAGAAGAGGAGAGTCTGTCTTTCTCTCTGCTCTGTCTGCTTCCACCATCTTGCAATGTGAGATCCCTGGGTCACTGTCACCACCAGATGGACTTCGGACTTCCCAGCCTCAAAAACTGTAAGCAATAAATTTCGTTTTCTTTATAAGTCACTGAGTCTCAGGTATTTTGTTATAAGCAACATAAACTGACGAATACCCTGGTCGATGTGATAAAGAGAGAAATAAAGAAAAGGTGAATGGATTAGAAGGGAGATGATAAAATTCTCGTTATTTGAAGATGATACAATCATTTATCTAGAAGGACCATTGGAATCAACGACAAATTATTAGAACCAGTAAGAGATATCAGCAACACTGCTCGATACAAACCTAGAAAACCAATAGTATCTCTAGTATTTCTCTCCATTTCCAATACCCAGCTGAAACAGAAAATTATTCATAGCACCAAGATAGAGAGTACCTGGGATCCATAAGAATAGGTAAGACGTTTTGGTAGAAAAACTTAATAAAGGACAGGGAAGCGGCCGGCCCGTGGCTCACTCGGGAGAGTGCGGTGCTGATAACACCAAGGCCACGGGTTCGGATCCTATATAGGGATGGTCGGTTCGCTCACTAGGTGAGCATGGTGCTGACAACACCAAGTCAAGGGTTAAGATCCCCTTACTGGTCATCTTTAAAAAAAAAAAAAGGACAGGGAAGAGGATCTGAATAAATAGAGAAATATACCGTAATGGAGGGTCATGTTGGATGACTAGGTGTAAAGATGCGCACTCTCTCCACATTAATCTCTAAATGGAATGAATTCTAATCAAAATTCCAGTTAGACTTTCTCGGGAATTTACTATAACATTTTTATAGATGAATAAAAATCCGCAAAATAAATAAGAAAAAAAAAAAAGAAAGAAAGCTGGAGGGTGAGCTTTTCCCTAACAGATTTATAAAACCATAGTAATAAAAATACCCCTAAACTGTGCAGCTGGCACAGGCGCAGGCAGGTAGACTATGAATGGAAGAGAACAGAGAGGCGACAGGCCCACTGGGTATCTAGGGGAACTTAACATGTGCTAAGTCAGATGGTTCAGTAGACGGTGTTGGAGAAGATGGCTCCTTACGTGTCGAAAATAAAACTGGATTTCTACCTAACAGCACATACAACAGTGGTCAATAGATAGTTTAATGCTGCAGATGAGAAGATAAAAAAAGTTAATAGAACATAATATAGGAGAATATTGCTGTGATCCAGAGCAATAACCAGAGATACGTTTGTCATTTTGGTTTTTTTGGCAGCTGGCCAGACATCTGAGCTCTTGACCTTGGAGTCATCACTGAACTTTAACCAACGGACCTAACCAGCCTGACCAGAATGGAGAGCTGAGAAGGGGACAGTTACCCAGGCTAGGGCAGTGACAGGCAGGGGGCGGGAGTGGGAGGGAGAAACACAGCCACGGCCACCCCCTCCCCCGCTTTCATCGCCCAGACCCAAGGCCTGACCTACACAGGAAAGACTGAGGAGAGAAAGGCCAGAGCAGAAGGAAGGTGCAGGGACAAGCAGCCAGGGCAGAGGACGGGCGGGAGGTCGGGCTGGCCTCGGCAGGCCCAGAGCAGGAGGCCTCTGTGTTGCCTGTGAGATTGCGTGTGTGTGTGTGTGTGTGTGTGTGTGTGTGTGGTGTGTGTGTGTGTAAATTTTTAAATGAAGTTTCAAAAGCACAAAACATAAGCACCCACCACAATCACGCCCCGGCAAGAAAACAAACAAATGAACAAACAAAAAAACCTCGATTAATTTGATCACATTAAAATTAAGGTGTTTTGTTTAATGAAGGACACCCTTGGCAGAGTTAAGACTTGGCAGAATAGGGCCGGCCCAGTGGCGCACTGCTACAGTGCGCCGCTTGGGAGCGCAGCGGCGCTCCCGCCGAGGGTTCGGATCCCAAGTACAGACCGGGTCCCACTCACTGGCTGAGCGAGGTGCGGGAGCGACGCCGAGGGTTGCGATCCTGTTGCCGGTCCCGGTCCGGTACGGGCGCGACACTGAGGGTTGTGATCCGTTGCCAGACACGAAAAAAGACAAAAAAAAAGGGGGGGGGGGAAAGACTTGGCAGAACAGGAGAAAGTGTCTGTAACATCCAAAACCAACAACAGATTAATACCTAGAATAAATGAAGTTCTCCTGCAAAACAACAGAAAGCAGGCAGTGAACCCACAGAAAATGGTCCAAGGATATGGACAGGCAATTTCCAGAAGAGGAAAGCAAAATGCAATAAGCCCAGGAGCTGGTGATCAAACTCCTCAGTAATGAGGGAGGGGATGTGGGTAGAGGAGTGCGACACCAGCTGGGTGTGTGGCAGATCAAGGGTTTGCATACCAGGCGTGCAGCAGTTCTACCCTGGGGCATACATCCCAACACACTGGCCACTGCAGGAAGTGGACTGGAATGTGGGGACAAAGGGAACACATTAACTACATGCATACAAAGAAGAGGGGAAACCTGCCCAGACCAGCGGGATAATGGACTAGGAACAGAAGAGCACATTAATTTTAACCTCACCCCAACACACACACACACACACACACACACACACACGCCTGTGGTCCAGCACACGGTCCTGTGACTGCACTGTGGGAGGCGAGAGGGTCAGGACAAATTTCAATGAACCATGGAAATACCCTAGGGTGCACAGGGCACAAGGTGGAGGGTTGGGGTGGGAAACACTTCAGACAGCCCACTGCAAACAGGGAAGTTGACTTGGGCTAATCAGAACTGACCAGAATGGAGAGCTGAGAAGGAGACAGAGACCAGGGCTAGGGCAGTGACAGGCAGGGGGTGGGAGTGGGAGGGAGAAACACAGCCACGGCCACCCCCTCCCCTGCTTTCATCGCCCAGACCCAAGGCCCGACATACACAGGAAAGACTGAGGAGAGAAAGGCCAGAGCAGAAGGAAGGTGCAGGGACAAGCAGCCAGGGCAGAGAAAGGGCGGGACGTTGGGCTGGCCTTGGCAGGCCCAGAGCAGGAGGCCTCTGTGCTGCCTGTGAGATTGCATGTGTGTGGGGTGTGTGTGTGTATGTGTGCGTGTGTGTGTGTGTGCGTGTGTGTGGTGTGTGCGTGTGTGAATGGGAACCTATGAGAGTGAATAGGTTGTGAGTGTGCAGGAGACTACGTGAGGGTGTGTGCATGTGAGTTTGAGGGTGACAGTGAGCGTGTGTGAGTGTGTATGTGTGTTTTGGGGGCTGGGGGTGTTACCTTTGAAAGGGCTGCAGAATTTGCCGCAGGGAGAGAATGTAGCAGAAAGATAACTGCTCACACTGTTTTTGATATAAAAACGCAATGTTTCTTTGCTTTATTTTTTTCTTTATGTAGCTTGTTGAATATGCAGCATTGAGGACCCGGGAAGGCAAATTCCAGGCTGCTTTTAGCTCAGGTCTAATGAGCAGATTAAGCTCTTCTGGAAGAAAAAGAAGAAAAGAGATTTATGTGTTAAGGGATAAGAGTTTGTTGGCAGGACCCAAGGGAAGAAGTTGGTGAGTGTGTGTGACAGTAAGGGACACAGAGACATTTGAGCCCAGACCCCTGGGGCCAGAACCTGGAGAGTGTTCTCTGGGCCGAGCACACTGCAGATGGCTACCTGGCCCAGCCCTCCTGTGGGTGAGAACTTCACCTGTCTGTCCCCAAACAGTACCTGTTGCTGCCTGTACCACCTCTACCAGTCCAGTCCCAGAGGGTGCCTCCCTGCCATGCTATGCCCATCCCCCACCACTTGACCGTGGTGGGGAGCAGCCCCTATGCCAGCCCTTTGGGCTCCTCTGAGTTTGTGACAGCCCCCCAGGCGAACTCACCAGCTCCACATTGGTGCAGGGCCTCCTCCTCCCAAACCTTTCTTCCTACTCTGCTCAAGGGCACTGCCATCTGCCGGGGGAAAGGGCTGTTTCATGGTCCACATATAAAGTTATCTTACAATTGATGGTGATTCTTCAAGCTTCCTCCCTCTGAAGAATCACTGTAGGGGTGCAGCGGTCAAAGATGAAGAAACAAGGTGTCAGTCCTTGGGATGGGAACCAGCTCTCCTAACTCTAACCCATCACTTGCCTGAGCTCTTGTCTGGGTTTTTCCTCTGCTTATTGGGGACACCCCCCACCCCCAGCAATCCCACAGGTGCCTGGACTCAGGAAGCCCAGCAGGGAAAACAGCACCTCCCCACCTCAATGCTGCCTCTCCTCCCAGGTCTCTAACTCCAGGAAGGAGGGGACCCCTTGGTCTCCCTTGAGGCCTCCTTCTTGCTCAGCCACAGCACCAAGTGCAGAAGCTTCCACTAAGGTGCGTTTGGAGAATTTGCCCAGGGCCCTGCCCAGGCCAGCCCCCTCCTAGGGCCTGCCTCCCCTGCCACCTCGGTCCATTCGGCCATCGCTGCTGAAAGGGAATCACACCTGCTAGCCTACTTGGGCTGTCAAACCCCAAAGACTGTGTGCCAGGAGACCGAAAATTGGGACTAACTTGGTCAAACAACAAACCCAGCCTTAGAGCTGCCAAAGCGGAACTTCAGGACTCCCTCCCATTATCAAGTATTTCCCAACCTGTTCTGTTCCTACAAACTGCCAGGAGCACATGGGAGAGGAGATGTGCAGGTGCCAATGTGACACCAGGCTGGGATTGGGTCACAACTTCCACTCTGACATTAATCCAAATACCACTGATCTTTTTATCTTACATGATAACAAGGTATATAAAGTGTTCCCATCAGAATGGTCAGGGCAATGTGGGCTTGCATACCTGGCTCCTTCCATCCTTCCGGGTACTTCCTTAAATGCCAGCCAAACTACAAACGAGGGCTCCTGCATTTGTAAAGCTGTGTCACACAGACCTGTCAGATGAGAAGTCACAGAGCACCCACTTGTGTATCGCCACTACAAGTTCTTTTCAGCACTGAGGACGTTATTCCCAGGCTTTGTAATTTACGACTTAGAAAAGGCAATCCTGAACCTTTCCATGGTAAGGGAGTTCAGTATCACCATGCTGACACTGGAACACTCTCATCAGAAGTTAATAATTTAGCCTCTGCTGTACTCCAAAATCAGGCCCTGGACACACAGACTGCCCAGCGAGGAAGAGCCTGTTCAATCACTGGCAGCAAAGGCTGCTTCTCTCCTGAACTGGGTAGGACACATGGAGTCCGCCTGGCCCTTTTCAAAAGAGAAGATGAACACTCTCCAGCAGACAGACGCGGCTCAGCTGTGTTACTGGACTGGCCTGCTCCTGGGTCTGGAGGCTGGTTTGATGGGGTTTGGGGAAAGGTGCTTCGATTTGCTCTTTTCTGTTCGTTCATTCACTCTCATTCTCATCTGGACGCGCCACCCCAAGCTCTGGCACCGTGGCATGTTGGGCATTTTGAGCTGAAGGCAGTTGAAAAACAGCAAATGCAGGGACAGGCTTTCTCTGGCCTCCTCCTATCTGCCCGAAGGCAGTTGTTCCCAGAGGAACTCAGCGCGGCCAGTCGCTTCCCAGGATGCGCATGGGCCAGGGACCACAGGCTCTTACCCCAGGAGAGGAGACCAGGAGTCCTCACGAGCCCCAGGACAAACTGTCACGACCTGTCACTTCTCGCATTTACTCCTTTCCTAAAAACCATTAGCTCTCCCCTAAATTGCTGACATCGCCCGCCCCTTTCCCGAGAGGATGCATAAGCTCCCCCCGCTCACCACTTTGGGGTACTCCTTCCTTATTCGCTGTGATGCCTCGGTGCCCCTAATCCCTCGTGACTTTGCTCCTGCTCATCCGCCTGTCGTCCGTGCACTTAGACCCAGCTGCGGGTCCCAGCAGGGCGGAGGCAGAGTCCCGCCCTCCCTGCAGCCGGCGCCTGGGCGGGCGGGTGTCGCGGCGGAAGGGGCGGCAGCTGCGNCCCTCCGCCCTGTGGGTGCAAGCCCGGGCCTCCTTCCCTGCCACCGACCGCTTTGTCATGCCTGGTCCCCTGCTCAATGTTTAGTGAAACATCAGAGGAGTCGCTGTTCCCAGGTCCCCTCCCTGCACTCCGACCCCTCCCCAGGTTGCAGAGGCCGGGTCTCTGCCCCATCCCCACACCCGTGACCTGCCCTCCCCTACTCTGCAGGGCGTGGCGAGGCCATGCGCATGCTGCTGGCCGACCAGGGCCAGAGCTGGAAGGAAGAGGTGGTGTCCTTAGAGACCTGGCAGCAGGGCTCACTCAAGGCCTCCTGTGTGAGTGACCTGTGTGAGGGACCGTGTGAGTGACCTGTGTGACTGACGGGTGGGGGCAGAGGCTGGACCTAAGGGAGCTGGGCCTAGGGTAGTGGGCAGCCAAGCTCAGTGCCCCTCACTGAGCCTTGTCACCCCCAGCTGTATGGGCAGCTCCCCAAGTTCCAGGACGGAGACCTCACCCTGTACCAATCCAATGCCATCCTGCGTCACCTGGGCCGCACCCTCGGTGAGTCCAGGGGTGAGAGAGCACCGCCCTCTGAGCCTCTGCCATGTGTATGGAGCTGCCCCGCAGCTCTCTGGAGTGGAGGAAACGGAGATGCTCAGAGTTCCGCCGCGTGCCCGAGGCCTGGCCCACGCCTGCCTGCAGTCCTCGCCCCAGGCCAGGCTGCCTCCCCCTGAGCTCTGAGCTTGAGCTCTGAGCTTTGTGTCAGGCTCAACTGTTCCCTCCCTCCGCGCACATCCTCTTACCCGCTCGGGCTGCGGCTCACAGACAGCCACGTGGTCTGCCAGCGGGCAGCGGGTGGGTGGCATGTGTCGGTCAGGCGGTCAGTTGTGCTGTCTGCTCCACCGACCCCCAGGGCTCTATGGGAAGGACCAGAAGGAGGCAGCCCTGGTGGACATGGTGAACGACGGCGTGGAGGACCTCCGCAGCAAATACATCGTCCTCATCTACACCAACTACGTGAGATGGGCACCAGGGATGGGCACTGGGGGTGAACGAAGAAAGGGGCTGCTTGTACCCGTACCCCCACTCCTCACGGGGCTCTGGCTGACCCCTCCCTCGGTCAGGGAGCCAGGGCTGGGTCGGGCTCTGTGCTGGGGGCTGGGCGGTATGGGCAAGATGCCCCCCTCACCCTCACTGCCTGGGGGAGAGCCTGCCAAGCAGAAGCAGAGTAGAACGGGAGACGTCCAGCCAGAGGTGGCTCCTGGTGGCCTCGGTCAGGGAGGGCTTCCTGGAGCAGGCAGAGGAGGAGGAAGATCTCTAGCCAGGTTCTGGAAGGAGGTGCTGGCACTTTCAGATGAACAAAGCGTGCAGACACAGAGCACATTTGGGGACCCAGGACCAGATTAGCAGAGGCAGAGCGTGTGTGGTGGGGAGTAGATGGAGATGGGGGAGCAGGGGCAGGCCCAGGTCCTGAAGGCCTTGAACCCACTGGTTTGAGCTCTCCTGAGGGCAGTGGAGGTCATTGAGGAGTCTAAGCAGGGCTGTGTCTGAAGGTGAGGTCTAGAAAGGTCCTCTGGAGGAGCCAGCTCTGAAGCCTTTGCAATAATCTGGAAAGAAATCCTAGCAGGGGTGGAAAGGCTGAGTGGCGTAGAAAAGAATTAGCAGCTGAAATGGGAAGGATGCGATCGTAGCCTGGGTGTCAGGAGCGAGCAGAGGAGCATCCAGGCTCCAGGCTCCAGCCCAGTGGGCAGCGCTGTTCACTGAGATGGGCAAACAGCTTGGGTGGTGTGAGGCTGGGGGGATAATACATGGTGGCATCTCTCTGGCAGGACACAGGCAAGGATGATTATGTGAAGGCACTGCCTGGACACCTGAAGCCTTTTGAGACCCTGCTGTCCCATAACCAGGGAGGCCAGGCCTTCATCGTGGGCAATCAGGTGAGCATCTCGCCCTGTCCTGCCCCTTTTCGCCATCCTCTTATGGAGGGAAACAGTGCGAGCCATTCATTCAGCAAAGTGAGGCAGACCTAGGGAGGGGCTCAGTTTCCGCACCCACTCCCCCACCCCCACCTGACCTGCTCCTGCTGGCTGAGTCCCTGCCACCCCCTGCCCTGCAGATCTCCTTCGCTGACTACAACCTGCTGGATCTGCTGCTGATCCATCAGGTCCTGGCCCCCCGCTGCCTGGACACATTTCCCCTGCTCTCGGCCTATGTGGCACGCCTCAGCGCCCGGCCCAAGATCAAGGCCTTCCTGGCCTCCCCTGAGCACGTGAAACGCCCCATCAATGGCAATGGGAAACAGTGAGGGCTTGTGGGACCCTCAGGAGGAGCAGGGGCTGCTTGCCTCCCTTTCCCCAGGACCAATAAAATTTCCAAGAGGGAAACTGTGCTGTGAGCATGTTTCTTGGGAAGGGGGCTCTGGGACCCTCAACCGTCAAGTTGGGGGGAGGGGTAGGGCAGAGGACCAGGAAGCTTGAATCCTAAAACACAATCAGTGTCTTCCTGGAGCCCTCAACCCCATCTATATTTAATGAACTTCAGAAACAGGAAAAGAAGCACCAGCCCGTGGCTCACTCGGGAGAGTGCGGTGCTGATAACACCAAGGCCACGGGTTCGGATCCCTATATAGGGATGGCCGGTTCGCTCACCTGGGAGAGCGTGGTGCTGACAACACCAAGTCAAGGGTTAAGATCCCCTTACTGGTCATCTTTAAAAAAAAAAAAAAGAAAAACACATAAAGTTCAGTACAAAGCGCAGGCTGGCTCAAGAGAGTGAGCAGCCGCTTCAAATAAGTTTGATACAAAGTAAGGTATGCACACCTCAGCCAGCCAAGTGCAGGTTGTCTCCAGGAAAGTGAGCAGCAAGCCTGTCTGCGCTGCGATTTGGTTTTATGGCTTCTCCATCTAATAAATTTTCAGCTAAGGGGGTGGCTCCCAGTTATGTAACATTTAGTCTTCAACATGCTCAGTCGGTCTCTTCCTGGAGCATGTTCATCGATCAGACCCTATCACATGTACCAGGCATATTCAAGAATATTCTGTGCTCTCTATTGAGCATGCCCAGCCACTGGATTTGCATAAGCCAACCCCTTGTGGTCTCATTTTCCCTGTGTTGGTGCTGAAAATAGGTCTAACTTGCAATAGTGACTTTCCTCCAGGGGAGAGCTCAGAAGAGGGGGCCTGAGACCTCAGGGAGTGGCTAGAAATCCAGAGGCATGTCCTGAAACCTGAACCCAGGGAAACTGAGCACCTTCTATATCATTATGGAAAGGTCTAGTTGGATAGCATTCAGTCCATCCATTAAACACAGTCATGCACTGCATAACGACTTTTTGGTCAATGATGGACTATGTATATAATGGTGATAATAATATGGTATTTTTACTGTACCTGTTCTAAGCTTAGATACAGAAAAACTTGCCGTTATGTTACAATTGCCTACAGTATTCAATACAGTAACATGCTGTACAGGTTTGTAGCCTAGGAGCCGTCAGCTATACCATATAGCCTAGGTCTGTAGTAGGTTATAGCATGTAGGTTTGTGTAAGTACACTGTATGATGCTTGCACAATAATAAAATGATTTTTCATTATTTCATTAATGACACATTTCTCAGAATGTATCCTCATCGTTAAGCAATGCATCACTTTACAATCACCAAACAGTGGGGACAGCCCCACATATGGGCCAGAAAAACCACAGGTAATGCTTTGAAAGCCATTTCTAAAGTGTTTTCTACCTGCATTGAGTGGTCAATCATCCAGACCTGCAGACAAAAGAAAGATGAATCTGTTACTGATTTCAAAGCCCACTTGGAGACTGTTTCCTTAGGGCATTCCAGTCAACCCAACCATCTATATCTGCCATCTTTGTAAATGGACTCTCTCCTGGGGGCTGGGGGAACAGATAGGGGAGGAAGCTACAGCTTTAGCTAAGTTAGCTGGACATTTTTTTTTTTTTTTTTTAAAGATGACCGGTAAGGGGATCTTAACCCTTGACTTGGTGTTGTCAGCACCACGCTCAGCCAGTGAGCGAACCAGCCATCCCTATGTGGGATCCGAACCCGGGGCCTTGGTGTTATCAGCACCGCACTCTCCCGAGTGAGCCACAGGCCGGCCCTAGCTGGACATTTTGAAAGGATCTTAGAACAAGATAAGTATATTAGTCCGTTTTCATTGCTTATAACAAAGTGCACTGAACTGGGTGATTTATAAAGAAAAATGAAATTAATTGCTTATAGTTTCTGAGTCTGGGAAGTCCAAAGTCCATCTGGTGGTGGCGACAGTGACCCAGGGGCCTCACATTGCAAGATGGTAGAAGCAGAGAGAACAGAGAGCAAGACAAACTCTTCTTTTAAAGCTCTCAGAACCACGCCCCTGACCACCTTTTTTTTTTTTTTTTTAAAGATGACTGGTAAAGGGATCTTAACCTTGACTTGGTGTTGTCAGCACCACACTCTCCCAAGTGAGCCACGGGCCTGCCCCCCAGACCACCATTTTTAATCCATTCACTACTGTGCAGTCCTACAATCCAATCACCTCTTCAAGGCTCCACCTTTCAATTACCAAAATAGGATTTCCCACCCTCTTAAACAGTCACAGTGGGGCTTAGTTTCTAATACATAAAACTTGGGGGACACAATTCAAGCTTCCATGAGTTTTGGGGGGACATAATTCAATCCACTACAATAAGAAACAAAGGCTTCCAAATTAATGGCCTTGAAATTACAGCCACTCCAGGGCAACCAAAAACTGAGAATGACCTTTGAACTTCTAATAAATCACTCTTAAATCAGCAGTTTATCTGTTTCTGTCTTCGTATGTACAAGGGTACTTCAAAAAGTTTGAGGAGAAATAGAATTAAGAGATAATATGGATCTTTTCATGTGTTAGGTTTGGTGAGACAGAGAAAAGGGAGAGAGAGAGAGAGAGAGCCAGGCACTATTTCAGCCAAGAAGCTTTATTCACCAGCATGGAGGGGAGACCGAGTTAGATCAGCTCCCCTGAACAAAGGAAAGCAGGGGTTTATAAGCCTTTGAGGGTTCTGGCAGAGTAATGGGCAATTTCAAAATCAGTGGTATGCAAGGTAACAAAGCCCTTGTGGTCCACAAACATCTGCTCAGTTAGGGCATAGGCTTCTGATTAGTGTCACCACTATATCAGTACAAGGCGTTCCAGCCCCAAGTCTGCTACTGCAGCCCACAAGATGTTTCTTTGATAACGGTTATGTTTACCCCTTCCCAGGAGAGACATTTCACTGACCAGTTCCCAGAGCAGAAAAGGGAAAGGGGAGGGAGAGGGGGCAGAAAGTTGCTTAGCATGGCTGTGCTGATCTTAAGCTGGCCCTGAGGCCTTAATTACCATACACTTTTTGAAGTACTCTCATATGTCTGTATATTATGTATATGTGATATTTTCCAACTAAGCCAATTTATAAAATCCATTAAGGGAGTTCTATTCCAATTGACTTGAGAGAAATGAGCACTTATATAAATGAACTATTTCTTGGGCCAGCCCGTGGCTCACTCGGGAGAGTGCGGTGCTGATAGCACTAAGGCCACGGGTTCGGATCCCATGTAGGGATGGCCGGTTTGCTCACTGGCTGAGCGTGGTGCTGACAACACCAAGTCAAAGGTTAAGATCCCCTTACCGGTCATCTTTAAAAAAAATAAATAAATAAAAAATAAAAAAATAAGTGAACTATTTCTCAAACTCTCAGAAATACAGAAACTGACCCAAATGATTTTTTTTTCATTTGGTGATTTAGGTACATCGTTCCTAAATAAAGCTACTTAAAATTTTTCATAAAACAAAAATAGACCTGTTTTCAGGATTGTCAGTTTTTCCTGGGTTGCTTGTTAGACAAATCTGTGTTATCTCTGCTAGATATTTAAGACCATAAAACAATAAAGTCAACATAAGAGCAAAACGTGCAATAACAATGAATTGCTTGATGCATGTCAGTGTGGAAATGAGAAGAGAGAGAGAAACCATGTTTAACTTTTTCGTTTTTTTGCTTCTGTGATATTTTGAATACTTGCCTAATTTATCAACTAAAATAAAATAACTTAAGATGATGGTTATATTTTCCCTCTGCTCTCTGAGGGTTTGATAACCAAGACTGTGAAATAAACTGACAACAGGAGAAAAGGTGTTACAGATTCACTGTGTGCACAGGGGCGTCACAGGAAAAGTGAATACCCCCCCCCAAAGAAAGAAAAAAACAACAACCAGTGAGATTTAGGGGCATATATACTCTTTCATAGGAGAGGGGAGGGGAATGTAGGCAATTTAGGGGAGAGTAAATAATTTTGGGGAAAAATGAATGGGCCCTCAGAGAATAAATGATAGTCTGTGATGAAGTTTGCTTGGCGTGGTGTTGTCTTTTTTTTTTTAAAGATGACTGGTAAGGGGATCTCAACCCTTGGCTTGGTGTTGTCAGCACCACGCTCAGCCAGTGAGCAAACCGGCCATCCCTATATAGGATCCGAACCCACGGCCTTGGTGTTATCAGCACCGCACTCTCCCGAGTGAGCCACGGGCCGGCCCTGGCGTGGTGTTGACTTCAAGCATCCTCTCCTGTGATAGGCGGTGGTCTTCCCTGGTTGGTGGGCTCCTGGTGGGACTGATGACAGCTGAGTTCATTTGGAGGATGTGTCTTTAGGCAGGTGAGGGGAGTCCAGAGAAAGCTTTTCCCTGCATTTGCTGGTTTTCAAGTGCCTTCAGCTGGAAGAGATCCGTATATCAATATACCAAAGAGGCATAATGTTGGGATGGCATTTCCTGACGTCCTTCTATATCTAGCTTTGTTTAGTGAGTAATGAAATTTTTATGAGCAACTCAAGCATAACTGTTAAGAACAGGTAAATGAGGTAAATGTAAATGGAATAAAAGTTTATAGATTAAATTTTCAAAAGTAATTATGTTTTATAAAATATGGCTATTTGAAAATAGTTTTAAATATATTTTTGGTAACTTGAAACCTTAAAGCTATGTTTTGTTAAATTAAGTAATAGATAGTCATTAAATGTCTAAGTCATTTCCAAGTATGTTATAATACTGAAACATTAATTGTTGAATATACGTTTAAATTAGTATAGTTTGTTTTTATACAGTCTAGAGATGCTAAATATGTTTGGGTCTGTTAATAAACATGAAAGATTATGTTATGAGGAAACATGTGTTTGTAGAAATTATGAAGTGGTGTTCACCTACAGAATGCTGCTATAAAATACTTAACAATGCTTATTAGTTTTTACCAGAAATTAAGATTGCTAAGGATTAAAAGTCTAATTAATATATGGTAATTAAAACTAGAAATAATAAGGGACGGAAACACACCCTATATGAAGAAAGGTTCTAGAGGACATATTAAATGGCTATAAG